CTCTTCCCAGAATAGGTTTTCCTTTTGCCCTCTTTCCATTTCCTGTCCTCCCGATCAGCACAATCCTCAAACTCTCCAGATCATCTGAACATTCAGCACCTGAAACTAATGTATGTATACATGTGTTAATATCATGCAGCTATAGGCACAAGCTTCACATGCAAGTGTTAAACTTGGAGCTTAAAGGGACTGTCAATCAAAAATAAAAATTTGCTGTTCATTTACTCACCCTCAGGCCATCCAAAATCTAGGTGACTTTTTTTTCTCTTTAGCACAACAGTAAAGGTTTTTAGGTGAAACCGTTGTCCTTGGTGATTCATAAACTGCACATCGTGTGCTTTATTGTTCATCAAAATGGTACTTACCTGTGCTTATCGTGGATGCTAGAACAAATTTTTAAAAGATTATGTTTGCATGTGCAATCCTATTCGGGAAGATTGACTTTTCACAGATTTCCGACATGTGATCCAGATCAATTCTACCTCTGTTGTCATTGCATGATACTTGAACATGAAAACACCACATCTCAAGAGCCCTGTCTCACTGACTACATTTACATGGACATCAGTAATCTAATTATTTACCTTATTCTAAATAAGACAATATTATGATTAAGGTATTTACATGAGTTGCTTTTAGAATATTGCTCGATTAATGGCGCATGTCATTACGTCCCACGTGACGCCATCCGACTTCCCCTCCGGAATTTCATTTATAAACATATAGTTCGTCTTCGTGATGATGCCATGTACAGTTTTGGGTGTTTCATTTTTAATTTTATGAAAGCTTCAAGTGCAGTTAATTATTTGTACGTGCATACAGACGACGGCGGCGTTGAGGCTCTTTTATTTGCCGTCAAATGGTTGAGCACTGCCGTGTGTGTATCCTGTCGCAAAATGCGGCGAAAAGTCATACACGAAGGTAATAGTGTGATTAAGGTGTTTACATGTCTATACTGCACTTCAATAATGCGACTAAAATAGGAATACTCCACATGTCTTAATTCGATTTCTGTTTACTTCGATTATGACTTTAGCCGGATTAAAGTAATCAAAAATCTCTGTTTACATGGTAGATTCTTAATCAGAGTATTGTCTTAATCATATTAAAATTGAAGTATTGTTGTCCTTGTAAACGTTGTGACTGAGGCTTGTGGTTGTGCTCCTGCTTCCTCCATCTCTCTCAGGGTGTACTCACACTAGGCGATCTGAACTGTACCCCCAAAGTCTGCTTCATTTGATTAGTGTGATCACTCCGTACTGCGCTGTTTGCAGTTCGTTTGGCCATCCCTGGCTCGCTTGGAAGAGGTGGGCCAGAGCACGGTTCAGTTGGGCTCGGGCACAGTACGCATGTAGTGTGAACGCTAACCACGCCGGATCACGGAACAGCTACTATTTTGTGTGCGCTACTGTCCTCATTACAACCGCAAACATATTCTATTACTACTACTACAGTATACTTTTCAACTAATTCAATTAAATCAAGTATAGGCCTACTTAGGTTTAATAGGTTTGGGCGCGGTACACGTGTGATCGCTAACCGAGCTGGAGCATGGAACAGCTATTATTTTGTGTGCGCTACTGTCATCATTACGACCGCAAACATATTCTATCACTACTACTACAGCACAACATTTTCAATTAATTTAATTAAATCAAGTATATTTAGGTTTATAATGGGTCTGGTTCTCACCTTATTGATGAACAGGAATTGTAGTTTGCGAGTAAAGCTGCAAATTGAGCCCGGTCTTATGAAAATGCATATCAATAGCATGATTTTCGGTTTCTATTTGGCGTGCTATTTATCTGCAGAAATTGACTTTGGTGTGCATATAATATGCAGTTGGCATAAATGAATTTATTAGGCAGTCTATTAGTGAAAATGGTTTCTTCCCTGTTTTCTCATACATGACGTAAGCGCAGGGGCGGACTTAGTGATTTGGGGGCCCTAAGCAAATTCCAGATATGGGGCCCCAACAGAATAACTATATGTGCTCTTTTACGCCTAACCCTTATTTTGCTTGCGCGCTCTCAAAGTTTATAGTTTATTTATCCCTTCACAACCAGTAATAAGTCAACCTGATACTGTTATAAAGCCATATTAGGCTATCTTATTTGGGGTTTTTTTTAGCACAAAAGAACCCCCCCCCCCCAATGCTTTCACTTGTCCATTTTATAAATTGTAAACTTTTTCATTCTTTTTACTAACATAAAATTATCCCATGCAACTAATTTCATATTACAAGTGTTCTGAAGGCATACGGTAGGGTTTGCCGAGAAGCAAATTGAAAATGTTATCTAAGTTAGCCTATTATTAAGCGAAAAAATCTCCAGTCATTGCATTCGTGGATTTATACAGTTTGCACCGGCGCGCCTAGGAAAAGCACACAAGCCAGCGAGTCATTTTGAAATATCAAGACAAATAAAATTATGACTTGAAACACAATATTTTCTTTACTGAGGTGAATATCCCTGTTCTGAGACAGTATTATACAGCCTAGAATGCGCGAAAAGAGCGCTCCCTCATATAATCACTAAAAGCTGTCACTCACTTCAGTTCATTGTGATCTTACGCATTCCGTTAATAAGCTCTCTACATGGCACAATTAATCTCTTATTTACATCGTATCTACACTTTGTTAAAATGAGAGGATTCCTGAGCTTGCAGAACTCAGCACTTGACAAAAACTTGCCATTTTGAGCGGTGAGTGGATTCTACTTAAACACTTCGGGTCATTGTGTTCAAGAAATTAAACGATATGTCTGTGATTGGCTACACTGCTCAACGCTGCAAATATGTTTCATCAATAGGCCTGTTAGATGGGGCCCCCTGATTCCCCGGGGCCCTAAGTGGCTGCTTACCTCGCTTATTGGTTAAGTCCGCCCCTGCGTAAGCGTGCTCCGGCCCAGAATGTTTCGTGCAAGTGTGAGTGCAGGCCAGCGGGGGAGTGAGGAGGGGGGATAATCGTGCTCAGGCTCAGTTCAAGGCAACCGTGCCTAGTGTGAGTACACTCTCAGTTCTTGGTCCTCATTCTCCATTCTAAACAAACAGCGTCAGTATACATGTCAGTATGCGCCCGCACTTACACAGAGCTGGGTAGATTACTTACAAATTGTAATTCATTACTAATTTCAGATTACATGATAGGAACTGTAGTTAGTAACGTAATCTAGGTTACTCATTTTACAATGTATTCTGACTATTTTTTTTTTATTAATTTTAGATTGTTTTATCTAATTTGTATTAAACTTGTCATTAAGCATAGCATATTGATATAAAAAATCAAATAGAAAGAAAATATATTATTTTTTTTTACATCAACATCATAAAATGCATTAAACATTACATTACACCGGGGTTTCCCAAACTAAGTTTAATGTAAGAACTGCAGTGGGTTTGTGAGTTGATAAAACCCTGGTAATTAATTAAATCATAAAAATGTAAAATACACTGAACAAAATTATAAATGCAATACTTTTTTTTTTGCCCCCATTTTTCATGAGCTGAACTCAAAGATCTAAGACCTTTTCTATATACACAAAAGGCCTATTTCTCTCAAATATTGTTCACAAATCTGTCTAAATCTGTGTTAGTGAGCACTTCTCCTTTGCCGAGATAATCCATCCACCTCACAGGTGTGGCATATCAAGATGCTGATTAGACAGCATGATTATTGCACAGGTGT